AGAGGGCGGTGCGAACTCCGCCCAAAGTATGTACGAATTGCGTGTGCGTCCATGCGTGTTAATATTTGAATCAAATGGATATGCGCGAATATTATGTTAGGTTTGTCCGCAACGATCGAGGATCGTGAAGTCTACGATGGAGCGCAATGATTAAACTCATTAGCTTAATTCGTATGTATTTGTTCCTACTTTAGTTAATTTTTGTATAACTCTGTGATGTGTATTTAAATGAGTGTAAGGCAAAATTACGTTGCTGTCGATTCTTTTATATATGTATGTTTATCTTTCTCAGAGCTATGTAGAGAGAGAAATTTCATAGTATATATCTTTCTCTATAGAAAATTTGTTTAATACGAAACTATTCCGTAGGAAAATTCTCTCTTTGCCAGCCGCTTTTTTACAGTATAGTTTCGTTAAAAAATAAGCCAATGAGTCAAATGTGTTGAACTTATCACGATCCAGATATGTGAAACGGGTATGTTTATATGAATCTGTTATGTATCGATATACGTCAATCGAAACGATCGCATAATAATTTAATAATTAATTTATTATTGTATTGTATATAAATATACAGATGTTGTTATAATTTAATTAACGTGAAAGGGCGCGTAAGTCGTGTACAAAGTGGACCGAGAGTGCGTTAAGAACCGAAATATTGTGTCGGATTTTAATATATTTCGTTTTTTTGCGCCGTGGTATCGAATAGCTGAAGCGATACATAACGAGTCCAGCGGAAAGCGGCGCGTGTTTTATCCCGTACCGTTTTTTTTTTTAGTTCCCTGACTATGCGATCTTCGATCGAATGATTAAGCGATCGACTATAAGCGTGATCCGTTAATTTTTATATTGTGCGTGTCACTAAGTAAGTGTCACTGTCGTTAAGTATTATTTATTGGTGAAAGTGGAGGTCGGGGCCGTACGCGCCCGTTCGCGGAGAAACCTCCCAGTCTGTCTGTTCGTCATTTCGTTTTATTTTTAATTAGCTCTCTTAATACAGCAAAGGCGCGCCGACGCATCACAGATGCACCTGCGACCCCGGCAACACCTGCGACGGTCGACATTTCGGCGAGACCGGCGTTTGCTTGGGATATTTTCTAAAATTTCATCATTAACTCGCAACCATATTATTAGCACTAAACTTATATTAATTTTGCGAACGCGTGCAAAATATTAAATGTCGTACGAATCTTCCTAATTAGTCCTATGCAACATAGAACAATTATTACGAACGGAGAATATATATAGTTGATACCGTTCAGCAAAGATATTTTACATTTACGAATAAGTTACCATTGGTTTTATCGACTTTTTGTATGCGATTTTAGGTAATAAATGAAAAATGCAACCACTGTAATTGATTATAAAGTTACCCGAGTCAAAAATACGAGTATGTAAACTTAAATTAGTGAATTAATTAAAACAATTGTCAGAGAAACTTGCGTTCGAACGATGAATACGATTTAATGTGAAACTGCAAACAATTTTATGTAAATATATTCGAGCAAGTAATGGTCGCGCAATTTCTGTTCTGCAACTAAACTTTGAGAGAGGAGAGAGATGCCCGATTACGATAACAATACAAATCCAAAGACGCGCAAGACGGACTACATGAATACACAACTAATTTAGTAATAAAATAGTAACGTTGATAATTTATATTATATACGAACAGTCACAACTATACACAAGCCAAAGAGGTGGAACTAGTAAAGAAGAGACAGAGAGACAAACAAAAAGAGAGCGTATGTATGTGTGTGAGAGGAAAAAAAATGTTCAAGCATTTAACATTAATTGTCTTCATCGGACGTCATTATTCATCAAAGCATCGCCATTGTCATTTTTCATCTTTTATCATTGTCAATAAATTAATTAATTATTCTTATAATTGTCATTATTGTATCATTATATATATAAATATATATATATATTGTACAAAACGTGATAACTACGAATCCTCGCTTAGATAATTCGCATAGTAATTTTCTGTACACATTCGCCGCGGCAGAAGAAAAATACAATGATATTTAAAAGACTCAATTGATATTATTTTTTTATACCTATGACCAAATAGAGCGAATTTTGTCATACAAATCTAGAACTAGATTGCAAACTACGAAAATTACACGTTCTTTAGTAATAACATAAAAAGAAGATAAAAATTCGTCTACTTTTTTAAACATCTGTATCTCAACAGTAACGATTCTATGAAAATATATGTCAATTTGTTACTGTTGAAATAAAGATCTTTAAATATCAGACAATTTTTTGGTGTTTCCGACATTTCTTATCCTTTCTTCACTTAATTGTTATTTTTAAATCTTTTAAAATGTAAATAATAAATTTGTACAGACTGTAGCATTTTTTTTTTTTTAATTAACATTTTATATATGTATGTGAAATTTAATTTAATGAAAATTTTATTTTCTTGATTTGCAATTAGATAAAGCGCGATCGATATTGTATATTATTATAATTAAATAAAAGTTATTATAATATATTTTGTCGATATTAATGATTATTGTGTCTCTTAAAATAACATCTGGTGTATCATTAAAAAAAAAAAGGATAGTATGTTCCGTCATTAACTGCAAATACTGAAAATGTATAATTTACGTTACGTATATTATAGATATTTCTTACTAATAGTGTGTATACCGGAATACGTATGTGAAAACATACACTAGTGAAAAGTAGAAATCTACCTTGCGCACTGCGTTATCGCCGGTCGATTCAATTATTCAGGATGGTATATGTATACATTTTGAGACTTGTAGCAGATACAGAAGATTCGTACCATAAACGAATAGAACTTATGTTTGTCGACAACTCATGTCCATTTTTATCAATACAATATAAACTTTAATCAGTAAATTAAAGTTTAATTAAGATTTAACTTACTTTTTATTTACTTTTTTTAGTTCTGATTTAGAAAAAAATAATTTTTTAATCAATTTAAAAAGTTATAGAATTTTATTATTTCTTTCTTTTATTTATATATTATGAGAATGGCTATGACATCAGTAACTTTAAACACCGACAAGATATTATCAAAGATACCAAGAAAGACCAATAGAAAAGAAAAGCCCGAGAATGAACGTGCCTGCGTTTTCAATGGTGCCCCTCTACTGGCGGCTTTATGTGCACAAAGCGTATATATATAGAACTATAAAATCACGAATGTTTCCGGCGGGTAACACATCTACGATCTTCAACCTTGTTCCGTGTTATACGTACATTGTTTAGTTCTATTCCGTATTATGATCACAAAATATAATTGCGCAGCAATGTATAGTATTATAGAAATAGTAACTAAAAGTAATTTAAATCATAAAATATTAAAATGAAAAAAAATCGTCCAGCACATTAATAGTATTTCTATGCAATATAAATAATAAAAAAAATATAACGAAATCAAATATAATATAATTTATTATTATTGAATATTACGATTTATAGATATATGTTTATATGTATTTAAGATACGAAAATGTTCGATATGACTTTTATTTAAAGTTGCATTAACTGATCATGCAAGATCTCTTACCGACGAATCGGAATATACTTCCAGCGCCATGTAAAGTGAAACTTTGTGATCTGCTGTGATGGTACAATCCTCAGGGACTATCTGTGAGTACGGAATTAACCGAAATACGTATCCAAGTTTATCCTATCTAAAGGTAAGTATAATTAGACTATCAGCTAGTCTCTTGGCGGTATAAATAAATGAAGAGACATGCATATTTTAATTATTCATATCTACTTAGAAACATGGGAAATTAATACTAATTATGTAGTTGACTAGTACTATTCATTATATAGTTGAAATTCAACTTTACTCAAACTACATAAAAATTTCAAAAGTTAAATTTTTTAAATCAAGCTAACAAGTTTTTATACAATTTTTTGATTATCTAATATTACTGCATTTTATATTTAATTATATAAATCTAAAATAAAATTTGTTATCGTAATATTTTTCTGAGAATATATAAGTGGAGATAACAAAACGGAAGGATTTGTACAAAATAAGTAAAAAAAAAAGTAGAATAATTTTTTTATTTGAGGCTCTTTGTTGTAAATTCTCTCTTTTAATAAAATTAATAAAATTTAATTATTTATTATATTTTCTTTAATCTTGCCACTCGCAAAGCTATATTATGTGGAAAGATTTTGTAAACATGATACCGTTTACAGTATTTTTTTCACGAATCGTATCTTTATCAAGTGCACGCATATTATTTTTCAAACATGATTTCTCCGAAAAACCTCGCACAAAAAAGTTTATTTTACACTTTTGATTTATTTTTGTATAAAAAATCACGTTCTCTCTGATTATATGTTTGTCTCCATCTTGTATATGCAGATTGGACGTAGTATAAAGAATTTTTAATACTATAATAACTAAATAATACATGATTTATGTAAGATTAACGTTTATTCATAAATGTACAGAGACTGCCAGCCAAATTTATATCAATAAATACACGTACACAATTAATTACTCTCTTCAATAATACAAATTAAACAAAGTATAAAATTATTGAATTTCTTCGATACGATGAGTGCAGAAAAGGCGTAGCGACGAGACACGTTTGTTCACTTAATAATCTAGCAATACATTTTCATATTTTAAACTTTTATAAGTACAATCGCAGTAAATAGATACATTTTTATGCAAATATATCACGTTATGTTAAAGTCACAGCATCGAATATATATAAATATAGGTAAGTTCAACTAGTCGCTGTACACAATAAAAACTTGTCATTAATTGATCATAATTTATTGATTCTACACTTTCGTTTTGTTGGAGAGACTTTTACGTCGTGTTTCTAAAAATTTCATTATAATTATTAGAACAGTAAATTAAATTTATCGTTGATATCCTCTATAAATCGGTTTTTTCTTATTTTATATAGTTTATATATATATATACATATATATATAAAACGATGAGAAAAAACTAAGGATACAAGAGCTTTACATGGTCATGGAAATTCAATATAAATCATACAAAAATTGGCAGTGAGATGTATAAATTTTAATAAAAGAAAACCCATAAGAATAGATTACAAAATTCTAATGAGCTTTTGTTTCGAGTAACACTTACAATTAGTCAAAAACTAAAATTGTATTTTACTGTAAAATATAATTATAATAAGATATCTCATTCTTAAATTTTAGACGTTGTTTACAGAAACATCATGAAATGTTTTTTTGTTATGGTCTAACACATATAAAGAATTCTCTATGATTATCCGAGAAGAATCGTCCGCGTCCCTATATTTGGCACGTGTCTCGTCGGTTTCGCGACGGGAAGTACAGAAGAAAAGTGAGTGCTGATATGACGCTGATGGACGATCGCGTGATCACCACGTAGGTGTCGGCTGACCGCGATCGCTTTAAAGGCGAATCCCGCGGTTGGTGCTGGCCACGTAGTTGAGCAACTCCTCAGAGTCCTCGCAGACGAACGGTTTCTCATGGTAACACGCGACGTCGTGCCAGGCAATGCCATCGTTGTAAACGTTGTTTAGGACGGACAAGCAGGATTCGTTGGTACCGTTGATGTCATACTCGGCATTATCCGGCTGCCTCACTTTCTTGTGGCCAGTCTGCGACCATGGATTGAAACCCCAACCGTTTGGCACTTGATTGGTGGGTGCCATCTTCTCGCGATTTGCCGACCAGAACCAACCGAACAAAGACTTGGGTTCGAGGTCGCGTCGGTTCTCGCAGCCCTTGAAGTCGCAGAGACGTCCAGACGTCCAGATGTAAGGAATATCATCTAAGGGGAAAAATAGATTTTACGTGAAACTGATTACTTGTCAGAAATAGACTGCAAACATTCGATGTAGATTTGGTAATCATTAAATTAGAAATTTTATTTATTTTGCCTACACATATAATTCAATAAAGTTTGTTTAATCAAAGTTAGCTTTGAACTATTCAGTAAATAGCTATATTATTACACAGCTATTATATTATTAAACATAATATTCGAACACACTCTCGTAATAACTTTTATTACTAAAAATACTACTGGTAAGAATTTTTTAGATATAACAGATACTCTGTGATTTATAATTTCTTATTAAATCAAAGCATGATTATAGAGAAATCACCCCAAACTGTAAATCAATATACTGCGGGTGTAAAAGGTCTACCAAGCGTATAATTAAACGAGAAGGCTGGTCACGTAGTATTCTTAAGCGAAATCAACTCGGTACCATCTTACTTTCGCCGGACTGTAAAAAGATTCATGCACCGCGTGATGCTGTTATATAAAAAGATGAGAGTCTCTAGCCTCAACCCACTTCAAGACCCCCGCATTACCTTGAAAACTGTCGTTACACTCACCGACTAGCCTCCCACGATTCTCCATCGTGATGAATATCGTTCATGATGAGCAGGTATCATCACAATTATGATAATTGCGGTTAGAGGCGACAGTGAAATCCGACAAATGTTCCGGCAATTTATATTAATTCTTGGTTACTAGTTATTCAATTTCTAATCCATATGATTGATATTGCGGTTTTTAAATTTTCTAAATTATTGATGAATTATTTATTTTTCGATTAATTATTTCTGTCTCAATTGTTAAAGTAATAAGTTATCTACGTCATTAGATGAACCTTTATGCGTCTTTATATAGAAAAAGATGAAAAATAAGTTAAATATCATATGATAGTTTAATTTATAAAAAAATTTTCTTTAACGGTCGGATATAACAATTACAACTTGCATCATTCAAGTTCAACAAAACATTTTAAAGGAAAACGAGGAAGAAGCTTCGTACTAATAAAAGTAAAAGCTAAGTCGTGTAAAACCCTTCGATTAATTGCACTTTCGGTTCTCGAATGCGCTTAAACGCATCGCGTTGCAGCCAAAAGGTCGTAATGAAAAGAAGGAAAGGATAAAGGGGAAGCATCGTCGTTAATCATCCGAATCGAAGACGCGATGATGTTCCACGTCGGGCTGCTTATTTCGAAATACTGCCGAATGATTATCTCGCATGGAAAGTTGCCGTGGTAAATCGCTGTGTCGTTGTCGATATTTACGACTCGCTACTATCGTCACCACGGCTGTACGCCGTGTGAAAACTTTCTAAGGCTATTCTATCAAAAGGACCAGTGGATTTACCCTTCTCGAGTGAATTCAAGAATTCGTACTCCCCTACTCGTGTTTGACAAGTTGCAATGCGTTAATAAATGATAGGTGAAATAAGAACTAGATCCAAGCGTGTTTGTTATCGATCGAGAGGTGTAATTAGAAGAAAATGATATTCTATTAGATATTTATAGGTCAAATTATAATAATTATGCAGTTTCTAGAAATCAATGCATGTACATCATTTAATACGTAAATTAGTCTCCCCATTATAATGATAGATTTAACTGATTATGAAGCAATACATACAGATTGCAAACTTAAGAATTTCTCATCGTGAATAAAATATTTTTCAAATTAAATAAATAATAAAGCGTACACGTCAAGACTAGATATTGTTGGCTAATTATAAGAATATTTTTTATGTAAATTTGAAATGTATGCATCTTCCAGTTATATTAAATAAACTATGCGTCGATTACTGTCAAACTTGCAATGTAATCACAAACTAAAATAATAAATTTAATCGATCGTCAATTTGATAATAATAATAAAATATTTGATAATAATAAAACATTTTTTCTTTCAACAAAGCTGCTTACTAAAATTCCTTTAACTGCAAATACGACCTCATGCCGCGCTTTCCTTTGTTCACAAACAAAACGAAGCCGCTGTTACTTTGTCCTTCGATCATGCATTGATCTCTAATTTGCAATGTGGAACAGTAAGAATGATTCACAAAGGAGCGACGCGCGTGTATATATACGTCGGCATGTTTCATGAGAGTTTGATCGTTGCAAGATAAGTTATACTTACTCTGCTGAATGAGCCTAAAGATCATATTGTTTTCTTCTTGAGTTTCCATCGAAATGAGATCCATGCAGTATTCCCTGCAAACATTTCTAGCGTCTAACCAATCCACCTTCTGATTAGCATGGGCCGGTACATGCCCGCTGTAGAAATAGTTGTGTCCTCGGAAGTTAAACTGCTTCGGCCCTGTAAAGTGTTTTATTATATTAAATCGTTTTATTTCTATTTCTGTAAAACACTCTATAATTTTCTTAAATTACTTATTAATAATTAAAGTGTACACAGAAAGAATGGTTTTGCTAAAGTATCTAAAAATTTAATCAGACACTCTCTAAATTCTCTGAAATATCACTCTAAAGAATAAAAATTCAGCCAGTTTTGAAAAAGGGTGGTTCGGTTTTCAATTTTCACTCTTCCAAATGACATTTACTCTAAAAATTTTTTAAAAGTACAGATCCAAATGATTTTGTTAAGCTATCAAAATAATTATGTAGAACGTTTGAGCTAATGTTGCTAGTTATCAAATTTTTTTACGTCATGCTTGAACTATTTATACATAGTTATTTTGTCAGTTTAATTAAATTATTTTTAGTTATATCACTTAGATATATCAGCAAAATCGTTTTACTGTATGTTATGTACATTATTTCTGTTTCCAACAGAAGGTGAGATTCAAGAGTGGATAAGAATCTGAAGTAGCGTTGTATCGTGTCTATAAATGTGAAGAGTATTAGCTTCCCTATTATCAGCGTATTATTTATGGAGATGTCATTCGAGGCTTTACAGAAAGAATGGTAAATCAACGATTATATCAGATCTCGCAATTGCGCCTTTCTTTCCTGTTAACAGATTCTCGATTTAATCGGTAGTTAATAGTTCATGGGTCAAACAGCTGTTGCGATAGAGTAATCCGCAGATCTATACTTTCCGCGATCGAATGTGTCTGGCCAAAGTCGATCGACTCCACTTGGCCGCAATAAGATTTGTTCTATCTACTTGAAAAATCGAAAGATTCTTACAGAAAAATGTCCTTTTCAGAGTTTCTCATCAACTATCAATGATCCTTAAATAATTAACCTCATCGAGCGCGTATAATAGCATATCAAATAATTTTTTCTTGCATTTCGTATTTTTAGTCTATACATTTATTAGTAGAACATATTTAGTGTAAATTATATTTTGTACATACAGAGAAGAACGAAGTTGCTAAAGTATTATATTTAAAAATTTAGCTACATATAGATCTGAAAATAATTTTGTGAGATTATTAAAAATTTATGTGGAACTCTTAAGTGTTGATGACATTGCAACAAAAAGTTTTAACGTTTTGGCAATCCGTTTGAACATTCTATAATACATAATTGTTTTGGCAAAATTATTTTCAGATCTGTATCTAGCCAAATTTTTAGATACTTCAACAATTGTTTCTTTATGTGAATTTAAAAAACAAAACTTAGATGTTTAAATTTTTTTTAGAAACAGACTATAGATACGTAAATGTCAAGAAAGGATGTCAAAACAACAAACGAAAATATATTTCTCCATCAATGTTGCTTCCAAAATATATATGTGACGTATACTAAAGAAAGCAATTTATAAAGTAATAAAAAACACAATTTACACAATATTTTCCCATAAATTCAGAAAACTGGCAGACAAAATATTTCTCTGAGTTACAAAAAAAATGCTTACTAACTTTGAAAGATTTTCCACGATTTTATGCATAGTATTTGCCTTCGTTGCTGTCGCATTGACGCGGTCCGTTATTTCTCTCGTTCATTTCGCAATTTTCTTAGAGTTCTTGGCGTTTTCCACCAAACGTTACCAAGCACATGTTTCGTCCAGCGTCGGGACCGCTAAATAGCGCGTTGTTTTATTCCGCGGGCAGGGAATCTGTAATCGACAGCAGCACAGCGGCAGCGCGTCATTATCATCCGCTTTAAATGTCAACAGTCTTACACTTTTTCCCGGTATTTATGCAGGTATGCCTCTCCCCGTCGACGATTTACGACGTGTGTCTCATTATGAGCGCCGCATTACGAAACGTATACGTGCACATGTATTATCGGGCTGCGTTACAAGGAGCATCTCTCTTTCTTTCTTTTTCTCTCCTTCGCGCTGTGACATAACGTTTTATATTCCGTTGCGTGTACTATCCCCTCGCCGCGCTTTTTCTTCATCTTCTTCATCCTCTTTTTCGAGCCGACTTTTCGAGCGACTTCTCCATTCGTCGTGACATTCGTAACATTTCGTCGTTTATTACGACAACGCCGATGTCGTGCGATTTCATGTCCAGTTTTAAATGTCTGAGAGACACACTTCAGACATCTCTTCAAATGTGTTTTCGAGAAAAGGTTCAAGAGAGAGAGAGAGATATTTCAAAAATTTAAAAAGATTTAAAATGTTCAATGTGTAGCCCACTTCGTTAATAAAGACGTTCTAATGAACGATAAGATAGGTACTCAAAAAATTTTGAAATTATAATATATTATAATATATTATATTTTGTCAGAGTATATTATAATAAAAATTAATATATTATATATAAATATATTATATACATATATACAGTATAAAGAAATAATTATTTGCGCAAAATTAGATAAGTCACTATAATTGTCAACATTGAATATTTGAAGAATATTTCAAAATATTCTTGGATACACATTATAATATGAAACAACATTTCTTCTTTTTTCATTCAGAGAAACAACAAATATATATGCAAATATTTAATGCTGATTGAAATGACTGGATTTATATGATATCTTCTTTTTTGGCAACTTGTCTGCTACGGCCGCGGCGCTGTGTTAATTGAAATTTATTACACGACGTTATATGTGTATTATGTAAGAGATAGCCATCAAATTTGAATAAAACGATTGAGTCGATTGTATCTTCAAGCATCGGCACCCTTTACATTTTACTGCTCGCGTGTCCTTGCCCACGTATGTTTTCAGTCAATTGATGATTTCGCCTGGTATTCGCAAGATATTCAACACGCTAATGTCAAAGGTCGATAACGTTGATGGCAATTTTACAAGCAACCGCTATTTTTTGTACCTGTTTTGTACCGTTATAATTTAACAAACGGTCATTCCTATTGTCGTTTTTGGTCATTCTTATTGCAATCTCGGTCTATTTATAACAGTCCACAGAAGAACTCAGGATATTTTATCTCTTTCGAAAAGCAATTATAGTTTTATGTAGCTGCACGGTAATAATTTGAACTCTTTTGCAAAATGAGTATTGATTTCTAATAATTAGATTTTAAGCCATTAATGTTTGATAAAATATCAAGTAAAAAGAAATAAGTGATTATTACATTTTTTACTGAAAAAAATAATAATTTAGATATCTTGCTTCTTTTGTTTCATATACCTAGTTGTATACAATAATAATTTAAAAAAACTTTCGTAATAGTAAGATTTCTAATAATCACATTTTATTGTTGTAATTTCTGATAAAATAACAAACAAAAAACAATAAGTATGACGCAATTGATACTTTTATCGGAAAAAGCAATACTTTAAACTTTAATTGGAATATCTTTGAACAAAGTTTCTTTGCGAATGAATCGTGCTAGCCACCCAAGCGTTCAATTCGAGATTCCGCCGTGGAAAGGCAATTGTATTGCGTGTATCGAGGAAGAAGAAAGACTGTCTGTCAGGATTTACGACATAGGACAAAGTCGTGATTCCCGTTGTCAGTATAAATTTAACGAAGACTTCGCATCTATGGAAGATAAGGATTTTATATCCCAGTCGCGTCATTCTCCCGCTCGCGGCGTTTGATACATGGGACTTGAATCAAATCGAATATTTCGTAACACAAGCGCTCTGATTATAAACGATTTCTCTATAGCATTTTATTATGATGTTTGAATGTTGCTTAAAAATAATAATAGTTTCTTAAAATCATAAGTTAAACATGTTATAAAATAAGAAATTCTTAAATGAACTTTCAAAATAATAATTTTGTATTAAATAAAATAAGTTTATTTAATACGAATATTTCCTTATTAATATTTTTAATTCTAATAATAATTCACACACATATACATGAAATGTTTTAAAATTCTTGAATTTATAATTTCGATGAAATAAATAGATAAGTAATTGAATTAAACTTTGGTTTTTTAAGCATGATGTATTTCTCATATTTTTATTCTCTTTTAAAATGTGTAAATTTGTATTAACTTCTTTATCTTGTTTTATATACAAATTATTGATTTGTTCATTTAAATTAGATCTTTCATTTTTACGCGATCATAATACCAGTGATGCTGTATAATTTTTATTTCCGCATCTGATAATAGATAAATCGTCTGATAATAGATAAATCTATACCGATAATGAATTTTAGCCGATACTGAAATATGAACAGATATCGATGTCGATGATAGTTTCTCAGGAAAATTGATGACGAAAAAGTGATGTCTGCCGTCTCGTGAATATTAAGAGCTCTATTAAATAATCGTAAAATATAACGACACGTCGCGTTACTTCTGATTAATGGATAGATGCTTGATTTTCAAAGACTATCTCATTAAAGTAATATTCGACTAGCCCCAAAGTAGGATATTTATAAATAAAACGAAAAACACTACGTAAGTAAGTGTTTACCGTGGTATTACAGCCGTACCTAGAAAGTAATTTACGCTTCCATTGATCGGAGTCACGTGAGGCGATTTCAATGTGTTAAATAGACGAGCCAATCACGTGTGGAACTGACACTATGCGCCTTGATTATGCATCGAACGGAAATCGACATGTAAATATTATAAAACCATGTGCCGTCATCACAGCTATTCTCGTCTAGATCGATAATCTACGTTGTGAATCTTGTGATATACTCGTATGTTGCAGTAATATGATTGCTTAATACCTGTTCATTGTTACACGGAAAGAATGATTTTGTTGAAATATCTAAAAATTTAGATACAGATCTGAAAATAATTTTATTAGATCATCAAAATAATTACGTAGAAAACTCAAATGTGGTAAGCAATGCTACAAAAAAGAAATTGTATTCTAGATAATTATTTTTTTAGCTAAATAAAATTACTTTCAGATCTAGCTGAATTTTTAGATATTCCAGCAAATTTCGTTTTTTCCGTATATCAATGTAATATATAAACTACACACTTACATATTATAATACATAATATATATAACAACATGATAGTATACAGATCGTAATATGCTTTTTCTTCGTATATAGTCATAGAAATTTCAGATTTATAAAAATATGAATGTCATGTATGAATGTTAATACGTACAAGATTAGATGCGTATTATTAAAAGAATACAGAGAATGACTATGCGTGATTATATCATCATTAAATGTGGTGGATTTCTTTTTCTTTGCTTACATGCAACGGCATTCGCGTGCATCGAACGAAAAAAACGTTCACCTCTTGTCGAGCCATCGCAATTTACGTTCGTTATATCAGCATCGATTATACATTTATGCTCCTGGTGTGTCTCACGCGTTTGTGTCAAGGAACTCGTAATGATAATCGCTTTAATCGTGCTATTGTTCACCGCGCGAGAATTATAGCGCAGACTCTAACGTATTTGATGATCAAACAATATATATATGTATATGCATTAACTGATATTTAAAGTGTCACATAAAAATCAACAAAAGGTCAAAATTTTTATTTTGAATCTTAATGTCAATAAACAGTCAAATTTTGTAACCAAGAATCATCATTGTTACTTTTATGACGTCAAAATAAAGTTTTTTTATTTTTCACTGATTTGAGATGTGTTCCTTGAATGACATTAATAGAAATATTAAATGTTTAGAATCAATATAAAGTTGTAATTGTTTTTATATAGTAACGTTAATTATTATTTAAACTTTTCTTATACATAAACTATATATATTATAAAGATTTTTTAATATTCTAGCAAATTTTCAGTTTAAAAGAAAAACACATTAAAGAGCAAAACCTATAAACGTTTAGGATTGTTGCTACATGTAATATTGCTACTTTTTATGCATAGATGACAATTAAAATTCCATATTTACTTAAGATAATATTTCGACAAAGTGTCTGCAACTTCTTTGAAAGACTTCAGTTAAGAACTATCGATCATGATATCGAAACAAGTGACTTTTCTGAAGTCACACTTATCATCCAAAAATAGCGATCTTGTATAGTATTTTAAGACTATAAGAGCAAACGGTTATTTTCTACGATAAAATATACTTTCCTTGATTACATACTGGGTCCATTTGGGACAAAGAGAAAGCTGATTCAGTAACGCGACAGTGCGCCTCCGATGTATTTCGACAGCACAATTTACTTCCGACATTGCTACCGAACGATTTAATCTACTATAGAACAAATCGGCTCTTCGGAGAAAAGTATGTTTAATTGACGTTATTTTTTATAATGGAAATGCTCTAGACGCGAGTGCGTCGCTTAATAAGCGACGTAATAAACGTACATTAATGAGCAAGCTTCGCTTGTAAAATGCGGATGTTGCTACAATCGCAGTTGATCTCTGCTAATTGTCACGTAAGAAGATATTAATCGTGTCGTTCTCCGTGTGTAAAATCCATGAGTCGCGTGTTTCGCAGACTCTTGGAAATGACATGCACCATAGTCAAGACACATTACGTCGTGATAAAAATAGATAAACGTTCGAAAGCGCATTTCTTTTCAGAGAAAAGCAATTTTCGTTATTATTTTTGTATAAAAATAGTAAAATACAAACAGTGTGAGATATATACGTAATAGCAACAAAATTTTAATTAATATATAATCTGAGGATTGTTTCTGTTCGTTACAAAATATAGTGTGAAATATGTATATACATATTGAATATGAGGTTAATTAATGAATAATCCGATACGCGGAAAGAACGGTTTTATTAAAGTCTAAAAAGCTTGAATTTAAAAATTTA